GCAACCAGTGCTCTTAACCACTGAGCCATCTCTCCAGTCACCAATTTGAGAATTTTAAAACAGGATGCATGGCAAGCTTTCTCCCAGCTCAGGTTTGTGGATGAGTGAGTGGGCTGCCAACCTTCCATTTGTTCCAATAGGGAGTCAGATGGGGCCTCCTTCTCCTGGCGTGGGGAGCACAAACCTGTGTCCCACTTTGTATAAAGACCCTCATCTCCAGTCAGACACCTCATCTTTGGGCATTGTTGATAAGCTTTGAATAAATGGCTGATTTACTTTGACTCGTGGACTTTCTGAACTTAGAACTAGAGCCAGGAAAGCTGTGACCATTTTACTGGGCACTGAGAGCTTTTCTAGATCCTTCCTATAGGATTTCAGTTCGATTCTAGCACCACCCTGAGGTGCAAGCATGTTTATTAACAGCCTAAGAAGATGGAGAAAGGCTGAGCGGCTTGGGGTCTAGTGGTGGCAGAACACAGCTCACAAAACACTTGATTTCAAAGCTCACTCCATAGACCCTAGAGAGAGTCCAGCCACACTCCCCCGGAGAGACTGCTAAGGTGGTCAAAGTCAAAATGTTGACCCCATATCATCAGACAGAGCAGAAGACATGATGGGGAAGATTCATAAACAGACGGGCACAGTGGTGTTATGATGAAATGTTACTTATAAAATAGGGTGCAAAGGCTGTGTCTGGCTGCTGAAATTGCCTGCTCTTCGCCTATGATATTTTGTTAATTCATTTAGCCAATGTTTACTGATTGTCTTCCTTTTCAGAGAACTTAGGAAGACACTCACAGCTCCTGTAAGCGGCCAATGTCTGATGAGCCTGGGGACGCACTAGCAAAACGATACACAGGTTCAAAGCCAGGCACCTCCTCCCTCTGTAGCTTCTCAGCTGTGCATTCTGCAGGACCTCAGAATGAAACGAAAAAACAAACAAACCAAAAAAATGTGAGCAGAGAGTTGGAAGCAATCAATGCGGCCAGGAAGAAGGAATTCACTGACCCCCAATCTGGGCCATCTCAAGAGAAGCTGGCCACTGACTGAGCCTCTTAAAAAGCTTAAAAGTCATCCCAGGCCATGGTTAAAGAGAAAGCTCGAACAAAATAAAAACAAATGTGATCTTCAAAGTCTTAAATGTCAACTTGAAGGATGACTTAGAAGCTCTGGGACGAACCAAGAGGCTCTGCAGCTGCTTCCTCCAGCATAGATGCCCCTTCAGTCTCTGAATTGTCTCTCCCCTGGATGATGTGTCTCACACACACCCTACCTACCAAAGCTCAAGCTTCCACTCTTTACGGCTCTGCACAAGGAGGGGCTGCCTAACTAACCTTTGCCCAAGGCTTGTCATACAAGTCTCCACCAGTTCCTGACTGCCCTGCCTGCCTGCCACCTTCATCTTGTTATCCTCGCCTCCCCCAACACACACACACACACACCACCACCACCACCACCACCACAAAGGCATATATACCACACACACACAAACACAGGCACACAAACACAGGCACAAACACACACACGCACACCACCACCACTACCACCACCACCACCACTACCACCACCACCACAAAGGCACATATACCACACACACACAAACACAGGTACACAAACACAGGCACACACACACACACACACACACACACACACACACACACACACCACACCACACCACACCACACCACACCACACCACACCACACCACATACACACATAGCCCACCCAGTTAACTTCCTCCCTTCTAAACAGCTCACTCAGAGAGATTCCCATTATGCCTCAATCATCAGGATAACAGCCTTGTGCACGCTCACAGGTAATTCCCACTTTTTCTATAGGAAGCAGGGATAACCTGAGACTCGGGCTCTTCAGCCGTTGGTCTGGTATCATGGGAAATATAAGACCACATTGGGGTGGGATGTTTCTTCCCAAATCATTCAAACTCCTAAATCTGAGAAACTGAATATTGAAAAATACAATATTCCCTTTATTAAGAGTCTGTATTATCCCTGGTTCTGTTCTTGGTCTTTTATCATAAATATCAACTCTGTTCTAATCATGCTCCTATTCACTCTCTAGATGAGGAAGCAGAAGTCCGGAAGACTGGACATCCCAGGATGCTCATTCTCACACAGGTCTCTGTCAGCCCCAAAGCAGGCTGCTTGGGAGCCGGTACTCCCTCCACAGGGCAGGTCGCCTCTCTACCCCACGGCTGAGGGGTAGGACTCTCAGTACAGCCTCTGGCTGACAAGATCTAGAGAATCACTGGCTACCAAACCAAGGACACCATGCTGTTCCTTCTCCATGTGGGTTTGCCCTGGAGGCCTTCAGAGATGGCTCAGGTGTCTTGCTAATCAACCAATCGGATCGCAGAGAGGCTGCAGCCTAGAGTGGAAGGCATAGAAATTCACCACCAGTCTGAGCTTGGTGAAGTGTCCCGTAGAGATAGAAGGGCAGAGGGAGACTCCACAGATGTGCTGGACAGCCCATGCATTTTAAAAGCTGACAGCCTCCCCCTTGCTGTGAGCTCTCTGAGGAGTTCTGCCCTGGAGCCAGAAGATGTGGGTGGGAGTTCTCCTAGGGTTCCCTACGCTCTCGACTATTAATAGCACTTAATATTACCTTCTACTTCAAACGATTGGAGTGAGAGAGCTCAACACTTGCATTGGCCTCGGGAAAATCAAAGGAGAAAGCCTTGTTTCTATCCAGTTTCTTTTCATGCTTGACCCTGAATCCAAGACTGCCCAGTGATGGGGACCATTCCCATCCTGAGTCAGAGAACATGGAGGCCAGGACATGGGAAACAAGACCAGGGAGAGGAAGCAAGTGCCCAGCAAAGCCCCCAGCCTCCCACATGCTGTCCAGACACAAAGGCACCCCCACTCTGGCCGGCTGTGCTTTGAGTCCTGCCCAGCCAGCCTCCACCTTCCCCAGTCCTGAACTCAGACATTTGTCTCTCCTCTTTTCGTCCTGATGGGGGCACAAGCATTCCCCGAGTCTTCAGGATCTGGAGAAGTTCTGAAAACCCAGCAAAGAGCCAGACACCAGAGCGTGCACAACTCCTCAGAACAAGGCAATAATAGCACCATTGTGTGCTTTCTGTGTTGTTGTTTTTAAAAGAAGAAATGGGGGTGGGATGAAGTTCACAGTGCCGGTGAAGAAGAGGGGAAATGCTTCCATGCCCAAGGCAGGAACTGACACCACAGTCATGTCTGCCTAAACAGGAGTCCCCACGTGCACCCTCGGGGACCCAGCTCCCCTTTACACACACTCGCTCCCTGTGCTCACGTGACCCCTTTCTTCAGGACACTGCTGCCCGCTCAGCCTTTTCCGGCACTTCCCAGGGGGTCAATTTGTATAATTTTTAAAATCCTCCCCAAATCTCAACTTCCTGTGGTTCTGTTTTTATTTCCAGATTTCCTTCCCCTAGTCCCTTCTCTCTCTCTGTCTCTCTGTCTCTCTCTGTCTCTGTCTGTGTGTGTGTGTGTGTGTGTGTAAGTGTGTGTGTGTGTGTGTGTGTCTCAATCTCCCCCTATAGGGTGAGTCCAGGCTCCCTCCCTCCCACCCAAGCATTGTTGGTTGGCTCTGCTGCAGAATGTAAAACCAGAGACTCCAGAGCGACTGTGGCTGCCAATCGAGGCTCTCCCTCTATCACTTGTTTTTGACCCCAGCTATGAACACACACACAGAGCTGTGCACTGTGCAGTCTCTGGCTGATAGGCCCCTGTGGCCACCCGAAACACAGCCCTGTTCCTGTACTCTCCCAGAAAACCTCAAACTGAGAAACAGACACCGCACTCAGAAGGACAACACAAAACTGGAAGACCTCTCTAAAGTCAGAAAGTGACTTCTGTCTCCCCCCCCCCCCCCCCCCCCCCCCCCCCCCGTGGGCTTTCAGACAAACCCCCAGGGACTCTGCCCTGCAGAGGCACGGGTTTCCCTCCAGCCTCCCAGGAACTGGCCACATATTCCCCAGGACTGTGGAGAAGCAGCAGGCAGAGAGAGAAGAGTTAAACCAAACCCAGACTTCAGCAATCTGTGTTCAATTTTGATAAAAATCTCTCTTGCGCTCCCCCCACCCCCTCCCTCTGCCCACAGCTCAAACAAGTCTCTTTATGTTACCAGTATACATTTTGTTTTGGGCACTACAGTCCATGTCCCTCCCAGAGAACCGGGAGCTAGCCCACCATGGGCACATGGGGCAGAAACAGCCACCCAGCTCCCAAGGCAGGACTGGACACAGGACTACGGGGCGGCCGCACCACCACACCATCATCTCCTGCTCCTCTCCCTCCTCTGTCTCTCTCCTCTTCTTCCTCCTCCTCTCCCTCCTCCTCCTTCTCTTTCCCTCTCACCCTATTACCTGTGGTCACATTAGCCCTTTCGTGGGTTAAGTCAGAATCCCACAGCTGTGAAGGTTCGACCATGGCACAGAAAGAGTTTGGGCTGCCTCACAGGTGCCAAGGGCCCTCTCCCAGATGCTTCTTGGCTGCCCAAGGTCCAGCTATCTGGAGAACAAGAGCCCCTCCACTGGGCTGCCCATCTTGCTTGCTAAGGCCCTCTGCCTGCAAGCGGAGAGCTTGGGACGTAGAAAGACTTCAGACCATCTAAGAGAATGCACACACCGAAATGGGCAGAGCAGCCTCCAAAGAAGTTGTCAGCTTTGGGGGAAGAGGTGCTGTCTATGTTTGTTCACTCAAGCCAACAGGAGTCTGGCTCCAAAGCCACTGAAAAGTTTTCGAAAGTTTTCCGAAGCCATGTACAGTGAATGTCCTGATGCACATACGCCCCTCTCCTCCCCCTGCGCGCTCACACAGCCTCCTGGCAGCCCACTCCGGGGGTCTGAGTTTCTGCAAACACTTTCAAGAACAAAACAGGCAACTGGCGGAGGGGCTGCCTTTCCGCCGCCGATGCAATAGCCAAAAGTGAAGCAGCGACAGGAAAGTGTGGCGATGTCGCCCCGTCCCTAGGTCCCCAGCGCTGCACAGTGCTGCACCTACCCTGAGGCCCGCATGGCGCGGCGAGGCTGCTGCTGCCCCGGCTTCCCGCAGGCGCCGCGCTCCGCTTGCTCAGCTCGGTCCTTGGCTACTCCGGACTCCGGAGAAAGCAGGCTGCTCCCTCCCGGCCGGCCTCGCGCCGCAGCCCGCCCCGCTCTGACGTCAGGCGTCTTGGAGCGAGGGATATTGAGGGATATTTATGGCGAGGAGAGACTCTGGCTTTTCCCTTGGTGCTGGTCCGAAGGCAGCAACTTGGGATTTGATTTGCAGTTTTGACACTGGGAACTGAGGTGCAGGAGAGAGGCAGCAGCTGGTGCAAGGCACAGTGTGGGTCGTGTCCCCCACTTTGGCATCCAGCCCTTCTTTGGGGACTCCCTCTGTTTTGGAAGCATATCGTGGTCAAAGAGGTAAAAGTGGTCACCTGAGCAGGGGTGCTCCCCCACTTCTCTAGCCAACAGGCAAAGTACCTTGTGGGGAGCCACCTAGCAGGCTGGGACAGGGCCCCTTCCCTGGGCAGTGTGTGCCTGGAAGGTACTGGCAAGAGAGGCTAGCCAGCCTCCAGGAGCAGGCGCTGATTAGAAAGCCTGCTGCATACCCCAACAACTTTCCCATTTCTTCTACGTGAGTGCATTTTCAAAAATTCGTTTTTACTCCATTACCTTCCATACTCCTGGCCTCTCTGTGTGCCTTTTCCAACTCACAGCTGACCATCTCATCCCCATTGCTTATATACAGAGTTCCAACCATGTACAGTAGCTTATTCATACTTTCAAACTTTGCATGTATTTAGTGTTTTAAAAAGTGGGATTCTGGGGACTTCTCCTTGACTGGACCGGAAATGGCCTCAGTCAAAGCAGCTGTCTCTGTAACCCACAATGCCTTTGGGGTGCCTATTTATTGTTGTGTGTATCGTCCACCCCCAGATGTCCCTCAGCAAACAAATAATGTCTCCAGCTCGCCAGTCAACCCTGGCTTCCACATCTGTCCATATTATGACCACCATTATCCTCTCAACTTCCATCTCTCTTAGGGTTAGGTTTTATTTTTGCAGGAGAGTGGAATGTGTGTGTGTGTGTGTGTGTGTGTGTGTGTGTGTGTGTGTGTGTGTGTATGTGTGTATGTGTGTGTGTTGTGTGGTTATGTGTTGTGTGTTGTGTGTGTATGTGTGTGTGTTGTGTGTGTATGTGTGTTTATGTATATGTGGTGTGTGTGTGGTGTGCGGGTGTGTGTGTGTGTGTGTGTGTGTGTGTGCGTGTGTGCGTGTGTGTGTGTGTGTGTGTGTGTGTGTGTAGGTTACAGGACACCTTCCACAATGCAAGTTTCAGGACTGACCGAGGCCCTTGGGCTTGGCCGCAAGCACCTCTGCCTGCTGAGCCATCTTGACGCCCTTCATCCGTCTTTTCCAATTATTATCGTCAATATTGGCCAGCAACATAGCAAATAGTAAATAAATGCAATCTATTATTGTTATTCTTGTAAAGAAAGGGCTACAGAAAGCTAGGTGTAAGGGATTTATGCCTGATTATGCTGGTTTACTGACCAGCCTCAGTGACCTGTCTCCGTTTGGAGTCACCCCACAGGTGCCCGGAGTGAAGAAGCAGAGGCAGAAGGGAGCCTGGAAGGGAGAAGGAATGGTCTCATTGGCACCTCCACCCTACCGCGTGAGCCTATGTCCACAAGACACACAGCACCGGGACACTGCTGCCAGCAAAGCCAGGGGAGTGATGGGTTGAAAGAAGAGCCACTCAGCTGACTAGCAAGACGGCTCAGCAGGCCAAGGTGTGGACAAGTCTGAAGACCTGAGTCCAATCCCCAGGACCTACAGCATAGAGAGAGAGAGAACTAACTGTTATCCGCTGTCTTCTGACCTCCACGGGCAGGCTGAGGCAATTCTACCTGTGCGCGCGCGCGCACACACACACACACACACACACACACACACACACACACACACCAAACGAATAAATAAAATGAAAATTCTTACACACAAAACAAATGAACAAATTAAAAATTTTAGTTTACTAAAACAAATTTTAAAAACATTATTCTAAACATTAAAATAAGATGTGAGATGGGCCAGAGTCTTTAGGGGTAGTGGGTGTCAGGCAGGACAAGGGTGGGACCGTAAGGCTGAGGAGCAACAGAATGTTCCAGATGGGCAGTGATGGGGAGTGGGGTATCTGGTTCACCCCACCTCAGGAAATCTGCCTCTGGTTCTTTTGGGATGGGTAAAGAGCAAGAAAAGCTCATATTGGGTGCATTTTGGTGGTGTGCAAATATTTTTGAGGCTAGTGAGTTCTGAAGAGGCCTGTGATGTGGGATGGCCAAGGATGTCTTTGCATGCCACACCAACCTTAGCACACCAAGAGTACTGATGGAGGTAGGCCATCCTGAAGGGCTCCCATCTCCCAGGACGACCTCCTGAACATAAACTGAGTCTCTCAAGTACACTCACTGGGATACTTTCACTTCCTCAGAGCAGGCAGCTCAGAACACCATGAACTTACAAAGCACATCTGTCACGGTGGGAAGAAGGCTTCTCAAACCCTTCTCTCTGCTCCCTCAGGGGCAGAACTCTTCATCTACACTCTAGACTTCCAAGCAGCAGTCGTCAGGAAGAGAGCGTGTGATCTAAGGTAATAAGTGTGGAGGAGAGGAAGAGAACACAGGTGTTAGAGGCCTGGGGGACCCCTGTCATTCTCTCTGCTCCTCCACCCCAGATAGGAAGTCACCATGTAGCCCAGGCTAGACTCAATCCTCCTGAGCCTTTAGAGGAGCTGGAATCATAGGTGCTGGAACCTCCAACCCACTTATGGCTGCTCTGATATCAGTGTGGCGAGGGATGTTCTCAGGCCCAGTGTTCCTGAAGATCAACGTCGCTTGCCAAGTGGCTGGGCTGTGGCACCCAGCTATCTGCTCAAGCACTGTTCTGGATGTTTCCATGGGGAGCGGTTTTGAGATGGGATTAGTATTCAAACGGGTGCACTCTGAGGAGGCAGATGATACCCCCTCATCTAATCTATGAAGACTTTGGAGACCCAGCCAGAACAGTGACTGAAGCCTCCTCCTTCCACAGCTCTGCTGAGGCGTGAGAGAACCCTGCTGGTCGGCAGCCTCTGACCTTGACTTGCAACTGGTTCGGTGTTCTTCAGCCTGCTTGCCAGCCACGCAGCCTGGGGACTCACCAAACCTCCTCACAGGGTTATATGAACCGATCCCTTCCTGTCCTCCTCTCTCTCCTCCCTCATCTCTCTTCCTCTTTCTCTTTCTTCTTTCCTCCCCTCCCTCTCTCTCTCTATCCCTCCACACCTCTTTCTCCTTCCTTCCTTCCTTCCTTGTCCCTCCCTCCTCCCACCTCTCTCCTTCCCTTCCTTCCAGTCTCCCTTCCCCCCCCCTCCCTCCCTGTCTCTCCCACCTCTTGTTCAGTCTGTTTCTGTGGACGTTCTGCAGCCTGTGATGAGGAGAGCCAGAAAAACAGGGTTCCTTGCTCAAAGTGAAGACTGGTCCCCCCCATTCCATGTCAAAGCAGTGCTGTAAAGGTCAAATGACTGAAAACAGAAAATCTCCCCCTCAGCTGGGTGTGAAAGCTCCTCTAGAGGCTCAGGAGGATTGAGTCTAACCTGGGCTACATGGTGACTTTCTGTCTGGGGTGAGGGAGGAGAGAGAACAAGGAGAGGGAAGGAAAACTGAGGAGAGGAGAGGAGGGAAGAGAGGAGGGAGGGGAGGAGGGAGGAGAGGAGGGAGGGGAGGAGTCTTTTGCCTCAGCAAGTTCTTCTGAGACTGAGATGGTGGATCACACTTTTCAGACTTGGTCGTTTGAGTCAGAACATACCTGCTGAAGGAGGCGCTGAACTCTGTTACCGGTCATGTTCCTAATGACCAGGGCAGACAGCTGAGCCTGTAGCGTGAAGCCATGGGCTCAGTCCCCAGTCCCCACAGATGGCACAGTGATGCATGCTTGTAGTCCCAGCACCCTGGAGGTGGAGGCAGGAGGACCAGCAGTCCAGGCCCAAAGCCATCCTCAGCTACACTGTGAGTCTGAGGCGCCATCTTAAAAAGAAAAAAAGGATGAGATGACACTGTGAATAAAGGCACTTGTCACCACCCTGTGACCTGACTTTGATCCCCAGAACCTACGTGGGGGAAAGAGAGAACCAAGTCCTGAAAGTTGTCTTCTGACCTCCACACACATCACACACACACACACACACACACACACACACACACACACACACACACACAAACACCCCACATTAATCTATTAACTAAAGGTGGTTAATTTATTATTTTATAGAATGTAGAAGTCAGAAGCACTTTAAACTGGCCCAGGTTTAGCAAGCACCCATCACTCTCCAGTGCTCTGACTCTGCGGCTCCTCCTGCTTTCGTTCTGTGACACTCAGGACTCGAATCTCTGCTGGACAGGACATAACTGCACCTCCATTAGGTCTTATTCACTTCCAGTGATACAAACAGAGAGGAAAGTCCCACCGCTAGCCTGATTTCTTCCTGCAAAGCCCTCTTTAGTGGGACACAAACAGGGCAGACATCACACCAGCTTGAAGATACTTTAGTCCTTCACTAGCTGAGATGTAGCACGAAGGTCTCAGAATTCAGCATTAGAATAACCTGAATTGTAGCCCCAGCTCTGTTTTTGGTTTACACGTATTTATTTCTCTCTATGTATACGAAGCATGTGTCACAGCACACCTATGGAGATCGAGGACAATTTGTCTGTTCTGTCCTCACACCGTGAGGACTCGGGGGTTGCACTCAGGTGGTAAAGCTTGGCTCCATCTGTCTTTCCCTGCTAACCCATCTCACCAGCCCCAGCCCCAGATCTTGCAGCTGAAAGCATCATTGACCCCTCTCTATAGTACAGACTACTGGGGCGGGGCTGGGCGGGGGGGGGGGGGGGGGGGGGCTGGTGCCAGGAGTGGATTAGATTACAGAATATGTCCCCACTGCAGACGGCCAGAATTCTTTGCTGCCCTTTTCTCTTTGCCATCTCCCTTCTCTCCATCTCCCTCTCACCCCCAGCAACTTCTTCCGTTTGTTACTCAGTAAAGAGAGAATGCACTCAGCATGAACACTTAATTCTCAAGGTTCCAAACCTCCTGCTCTTTGCAAACCTCTGCCCAGTGTTA